CGCTAACAGTAAGCCGTCCCTATTGTACAAACGCTAACAGTAATCAGTCCCTGCTAAATAATCAGTAATGAAAGCAGCTGAAGCAGAAGGAACTGGTGTCTTTGAGTCGATACATTGGAAGGTATTACGTTCGATTTGGTCAGCGCATCGTCGATATATCTTAATATGAAATTGACTGAGCGGCTAGGAATGTTTTTAAGTCCTAACACATTTTTCGATAAATTCAGTTTCATATGAAAACACAAATAAAAACATGTTGGCCAGAGAGGACCACAATGTGTTCGCTTAGATCCCTTAGGAATGCCTTCAGTCTGCCGGAAGATCATGCCACAGGACATAAAGAAGACAGTATTTACCAGGAACTCAATCATTCGCAAGACTGTATTCTCAGTTTATATCATTTTGGCCATATACCTTGAAAAAAGCTCTTATACAAAGAGAGCGATGGCGTTCCTTTAGTTGGTATGCGAATGGTGGTGCAAAGGATGATGCCAATTATATTGAAGATACCGTCTTTCGAATTTGAGTTATATGATTTGGCTGTATTAATAACAAGGTTTTGAAAGTTGATAACACATGTTGAATATCATTTACAAGAGTGGTTTTCGAATATGAATCAAAAGTCTTCAAATTTCAATCACTAGTTTTGCAATATAAATCACATAGGTTTATGAATCGAATGGGTTTTTTTTTTAATTATGAATCACAGGATTTAAGAATATAAAACACAATACGGCTAAATTTGGAAACGTTTGACACGCCATACTTGTCATAGAGCAATATAATATAAGGTTATTGAATCCCTCACCCTCAGCAGAAAAAAACTATGTAACTCCACTGTTGTTTGTCGTTGATACATCAACTTTCCACGATTTGTTTGGATATAATTGGAGTGTGGTAGGGTTCGGGTACTGTCGTACACCAGCTCGTTTGGTTAGAACACAATTATAATGATCAGAGGTCCAGATTCTAGTCCTGATCTGGTGCCGTTGTATATTTTTCGTATTAGTTCTGGAATGCAGTTTTCTTTTCAGATCTACATGGTTTTGGCAGTTGTATAGTGATCCTAAATTGGTTAATTGCACAAACTTATTATTTAAATTTATAATATATCAGAAACGTAGCACTAGAAATCACTTCCGGTTGCGCACGCACATCATGGCTGCCACTGAAAATTTTGCTGGGGGAGAAATCCAAATCGAATCGAAATACATCGAGCAATTTCAAAATTCGAGCCCTCGTTTTTATAAATATCAGTTCGCGGGCAGTCAATTCATGACATAAATAGTGTCTGACTCGCTTCTGATGTGTGCCTTGTTACTGCTTATTCTACAAAATTTCCATTTGTTTCCCTTCCTAGCGGTTATTTGACAAACCGATTCATTGATATTGATCTGCTGACTCACATGCTAGCTGTTTCTGGTCAGTGTACGAGACTGACAGTCGCTGTCAGATTTAGTCGACGAAATGTCTAGTTCTCAGTGTGTGGTATATTTTCGTCATTTCGTAAATTATTTTTATTACTTATTTTTCTTACCCTACATCAATTTTGATAAAACACCTTTCGCAGGAAAAGATATTTACCATATATCCTTACCTATTTATAACAGATTCGGCTCTATATCACTGGACCAAACATCGCGTCAGTTTGTTTCCAGCTTCAGCATTTTTCTCCACCCTTCCATTTTCACTGTATATATTTATCTCGTTGTCATTGATCGCACACACACAGTATCATTGGTCAACGATGCGGTCATCATAAATTCTGCCTTCGGCGTACGCTTTCCGATGGTTTGATTGTTTGACATATTTGTTTTATCCTCTATATTTTTATGTAGATGTTCTGTGGTTGTCTGTGTCTCGATTGATGAGCGGATTGCTCCGACAATGACCTTTTATTGTCTACAAAGTTGGAATAACTTAATTGGTATCCTTCAACCATACGTTTGTAAGGGACCGTGTTATATGAAAGTGTACCTTTGATGATACTTCTTTAACTCATATATATATAGGATTTTACATGAGTTTCAATTTCATATGAGATTTATGAAACGAGTCTTAGAACTTTTCAGCTTTTTATCACATAATCAAGATTTATAGCATTTATTCTTGTTAAACGATAATTTTCATGTATCTTTGTAATGTAAAAAGCCGCCATTTTGACTCCAGTGCGTAAGTCTGTGACGTCATGTACTTGTTATATGCGTGACGTCACAATTGAAACAATTAAAACTTACAACCAATCACAGGACTGATAGGTCATCTTACATGGGTTGATACGCAAATAATATGACATGGGTATAATCACTGGATAACACAGTACAGTATGTGATAAATGAATATATGACATAATTGGTTCTTGTTTATTGTTCAAATGTATACATAATTAATGCAAAATTTCAAAAATCGAATGTCTACAATTGTTGAGGAAACAGACTTTAGATTTACATCTTGTGTCCCAAACATATTTCTAATATTTTATAATAAACCAAAAGTATATTTGTTTTTAGACAGATAAGCAATTAAAATAGTTTTAACAGCAAGTATAGTTTAACAATTCATTAAAGTGGAAATTTCAGGAGTTGATTCCCAATGTTTATTTTGTGTAGGGGTTGCTGATATAAAATTCATGGAAGGTTGGCTGTGTAAGCGAGGGTGATTTCTACTGTATTATAATATGGTTGTAATTATAAAATGTCATACTATTGTTCCTATGTCAACTGCCTTACATGAAATTAATAGATGGCGCGTTAATGCGTTAATTACACGGTTAATTATATTAATTTTACTTGTCATTCCTGTCAGGTCATCCCATTAGTGTTTATAATGTGACTTTAATGCTTATTTGTAAAAACAAATATAAAGGAGTACAAGTGTTTTTACTAAAAAAAAGGAAATTCCTATTTTCTGAAAAAAATGTGTAAGAATCGCTGGTAGAAAACGATAAAATTATTTAATCAAGTCAAGTCATCTAGTGCTTGTCAGTAATACGTTAATATGTCCTTATCATCAAATGTTTTATTAAGTACACAATTTGTTAGCAGTGCAAGATATCCCTCTACACTTCTACATGTAGGGGTAGGTGCGAAAGTGGTGTATATCTGTGTTGTTTAATTGTTTACTGTACGTTGCACTGTGTATGCACACCTGATGAACTGTCAAGCCTAAGGTACTAAATGAACTGGAATGTGAGGTAGTTATTACAGACATGAAGTATATGTACAAAGCATTCAAAATATATTTTTTACATTATTTATCCCAGGCAATATTACGATTTAAACGTCAGCTCCATATCTATATTCCCCGCATGAGGTTAAGGCTTGTGGTGAGGTTAAGGCTTGTGGTGAGGTTTCTTGTATTCTTTTTTGCTTTCTTTGTTGATGTCTTCAGATTTCATATCGTTGTCTATTTTGTTTGAAGCCTGATTGTTGGCGCTTTGTTATGTTATCTTCATATTTTATTCGAAAGCATGAAAAAATAATACTGTGTTTGTCAAACTTACGTTTACCTTACTATTACAAGATCACAAGTATTCGTATGCCTAAGTCTGTCCAATCGAACTTTGTTTTGTTTTGTCACAATAATTGTTATATTTTTCTCAAGTATATCTCCACCTGTTTGATTGATTTTGAGACACTTTAACTTAATATGCTAATCATTTTGATCATACGCTTTTAAATTGACCATCAGTTTCCCATGCTTTGCTGCAAATTGTATATTTCCCTGAAAATCACTGAGACACTAAATCAACAATAAGCCATCATAACACCTTTATTCAATGTAAAACTAGGATATTTAACAGATTATGTTAGACCTATATTTCAGAAATATAAAACATGTCATGGATAATTTTAGTTAAAGCGCGTGTGATACAATAGGGTTGGTCCATTCGAATATTTTCTTAATATAAAACATAGCATGGGTATTTCAATTAAAAGCGCGTATGACACAATCGGGTGGGTCCACGTTCACTTCCTTTGCCTCCGATTGCCCCCGATTATAGACATCCACCAAGGACCATCCTCCAAGGACCATCCACGAAGGACCATCCACGAAGGACCATCCTCCAACATGCCGTCGTCCTCCGTTTATGAATCTGTTAAGATAATAAGTAACGTATTGATATAATTTAAATTGTCACAGTGTTAAACTTTGTTTTCGCTTGTTTTGATGTATTTTGTAAATGAGCTACATAGCATTGCGCCATCCGTTGTCCAAAAAGGCACGGAAATAGTTAAAGCGTTTGCGTTTGCTTTACAATGACGTTTTCTCTTCTGTAAAAGCATGCTATGTTCGAATTTCAGCAAATCAAATAAAAACTAAAAATATCGAATGTTTTTATTTATCCTGATGACAATTACTACGCATTTACATAATATTAGATTCACAAACATAATGGAGAATTATTTTGCTTACTTACACATGTTTCATCATTGTTTCTCTGTGATGTCATCGGGAAACTGATTCATTTTATATTATGTGAATAAGATTGTACTTTAAATAATAGTATTTTTCGACAGTTTGGTGTAATTTCATTTCATTTGCAGTCTAAACAGAAAACTGTGACTCTAAACTCTCCCGAAATAATACCAACATGGAAACCAAAGGCAGTTACCAGTGCAGAGCGAAAGGAAATTGGCGTCGTTGCACTAAAAGTCATTATGTCGCAAAAAGTTGAAATGACGTATTTTGTAAGTCGTTATAACTAAAAAAATAAATAAATAACAGCACCATTGTGTATATTATGCAGCTGTACAGTGAAAGCAGAATTAGGCAGATGAACCAAGACAGAAGTAGACAAGCCTGATATAACATATTATAATTTGGGTCAGGGTCAGCGTGAAACGACGTGTCTGTCGGGCTGGCCGTCTGTTAGCGCAGTTTGTGTCGGAAAAAAAACCAACACTTAGCCTACTAAATCGCAACATGAAGACAAATACTAGCGTGATGTTTACACTTACTGTTCGGTGATGTTTACACTTACTGTTCGGTGATGTTAATACTTACTGTTCGGTGATGTTTACACTTACTGTTCGGTGATGTTTACGCTTACTGTTCGGTTATGTTTACACTTACTGTTCGGTTATGTTTACACTTCCTGTTCGGTGATGTTTACACTAAGTGTTCAGTTATGTTTACACTTACTGTTTGGTTATGTTAACACTAAGTGTTCAGGTATGTTTACACTTACTGTTCGGTTATGTTTACACTTTTTGTTCTGTGATGTTTACACTTACTGTTCGATTATGTTTACACTTACTGTTCGGTTATGTTTACACTTTTTGTTCTGTGATGTTTACACTTACTGTTCGGTGATGTTTACACTTACTGTTCGGTTATTTTTACACTTACTGTTGGGTTATGTATACACTTACTGTTCGGTTATTTTTATCCCCATTTGTACTCAATACTGTTGGCGTTGCTGTTTGGTTCTGTTGTTGGATACGTGACAGCGGGGAACGTATGAGGGAAAGGGAAGAAGAAGATCCTTAACGGGGTGCAGCATCTCTTCTCATCCGCGTCACATTCTCCTTGTTCAGATTCCGTCCAGGTAGGTGGACATGACTCGTTTTCAGCCAAGCATTCACACTTCTGGTAACCAGGGGCTCCTACAAAACAACTACTGTTCGTCTAGAAACTTGTACAGTTTATATGAAAAACTGCTTTCCCTTTTTAAAAAAACAATTCCTTAGTATACATGACCCTAGTTAAAAAAATTACAAAAGATAATATATTCAGAAATACGAATATTATATTCAGAAATACGAATATTATATATAAAAAATAAATAAAAAAAAACAAAACTTTTTAATAACTTTTTAACATGTTATGATTAACCTATCGATAAGCTGATAAATCTCTATAAAACTTGGCCTTCAACTAGTTAAAAAAATTAGTTCAAACCGGAAGAGTTAATCAAGAATAACGAAATGAAACATAATTTTCTAGTTTGGAACATTTTTTTCATCATAGCTGGTATAAAATATGAATACAAATAATCAAAACTACTTTCATGGCGCATACACGAAATTGATAACACATGATTTGGTTGTGCCGCAATTATTTGTATGTTTAATGGTTGTTGTGTAAATGTATTTTTGTCGATTGTTCAGAAGACTGAAATTGTTGAATATTGTTCCGTCACACAACACAGTATTGTTTAAAATACTTTTCTGATAAAATATACGAATTAAATTGTATTTTGTTTTTCGGTGTGAGCGAAACAGGCTACATACTAGATGACCTTTAGGATGTCATCGCTAAGGACGTGTAAGGTTTCACGTTCATAACAGTATGATTATCAAAAAAATACCGTTCATTTATTAAATTCTAAGGAAAAATCCGAATGTATTCGAAAGGAGGCCATGACCCTATGTAACACCATGTTCGATTTGTCATATAAGGGGAGACAACCAGAATCATACATTAATGGATATTTAAGAAAACTGGAAAAACAACCATAGCACGTCAATACCAAAGGTTAAAACCTGTCAAGACGTCCAACAGAGTCCGGGAAAGAAAGGTAATAACGAATAATGTAAGACACATTGATCAAGTCTCCATAGGTGAAAATACATTTTATTTTACCGTTCTTGATTAACTCTTCCGGTTTGAGGTGCACATTTCGAATCATTTAGGAATGAGGTCGGTGAGCTTACACTGTATTTGTCGAGTCAGCAATTAAAAAAAACATAGGAAAACTCGCACTTTCTTGTTGCAAAAATTGTTTTCGAGGTTTTCTTTTAATTATTGATCATGCTTTGCAGATGCCTTCACTTGTTTTAATATTATTGGTTTAAGTAGTAACCTGTAAGATATTGTATGTACCGTACTTGATACAATAACAAACAAACCTATATATACAATTAAGTAAAATCATAACTATAAATAAAGATAAATATATATAGATAGATATTAGTTAAGGTCATAGGAGTGTATTAATGAACGAAAATAGGAAGTACATCCCTAGTTGAAAATCCAATGTAGGGAGACAGTATAACGATTTCCGCATATTCTAATGTTTAATTATAAACTGATGAATTTTGTATGTTTATTATTGACAGAACAATGTGTTCTCTCAATATTAAAGTATTTCAAAGCAATCCAGGCATTAATTCAGTTATTTTTTATCAATGAGTAACATATGTCCATTCTTCTGTACTTCAGGAACCGGCTACCTATTTCACTACTGTGAAGTTTTTCAAGAAAGATAACTCTTCCCTGCAATTACTATGTGTATATGGTTTTAATATAAAGCTTCAATTTTTAATCGTTTTTAGATAATTTATAAATACACAATTTCAGCATTTATTAGATTGATATACATTAATACAATACTAATCTATGGAAGTATAATTTTTATTGACATTATTTTGCCAAAAATTGTGTCTTCCATTTTTTTCAAAATTCACTCCTTTTTACATAAATTTCCATTTCAAATCCTTAAAATTCTGACAACTTACATTTTTTTTATGACAGAAAATTGTCTTTACTTCAAAGCAATATAACTACAAAATTTGAAGAAAAGCTACTGAGAAATGGTGACACAATCCTATTACCTTAAGGTTAGATTAGGAATTACGCTGACCCCTTAACGATGAAATTAAAATTCCTTGTAACATTGCTGAAATGCTAATTCCTAATGGTTACACATGTTCGTCGTGAAAAGATACATATTCTAGACATGTGTCAGTCACCATGGTGACACTTACATGACACGTAGACAAGTGATATCATTTGTCAACTGACGTAGCACACGGAAACTAGATAAGACTTTTACTAGTCTGAATGCATTAACTTCACATTTTCTGTGATGGTATGTTGCATTTCTTTAATTGAAAGAAAACAATCATTTCAATACAAAATTTGATATAAAGGAATCTAAATTATAATAATATTCATGAAAGAATCTAAACGTTTTCATTTTAGCCAGCAATTTGAAAGTTGGTAAAGCCTCCAGAAACGTGTTTTAACGACATCAAATGCGCTCGAAAAATAACAATAATACAATAAGACAAAACGACATATATTTAATGCATCACTAAAGTTTAACTTATGTTTTGTGAATTAATCATTGTATAACTGATTCATATTCATTTAAAGCAGCGAGGTAAAAACAAGAAACCAATAAAAAAAATCTTCTGCAAGAACTCAACATTAAAATTTAAAATAATACATTTGTTTCTTATGAAAAAACGAGCTTTTGGTATTTTCATTGATATTTCTGATTATGAAAACAAAAAATCAAAAGTTTATATGAGAAGAGTAAAATCATTATTACTTTGCACGAAAACATCCGCATGCAACATCAAATAGATATATACAATGTAGTAAAGTTACCTTGCAAAAATTCGGTATGAAAACAGTTACAAGCAACATTATATGATAATAATATATAACACAATGTTACCGTGTACGACGTTGATAAAAACCAGCATCAGCAGAGCGGACACAAAGACTAGTAAGACTGACGCCATTCTGCGAGCTGGTCACCACGACGACTAAAGTAAGAGTAGCGTCGAGCATGTCAGACAGTCCTTTATACCCATAATAATAGCTAATTAGTGTGGATGTAATTAATTAGCAACATAACTGACACGTTACAAAGCTCGGTGATATTTATATAATTAATCAAAAACAAAACACTTACAACGGTTACTATTGTTGAAGACAACATGTTTATTTTGTCAATAATTGTAATGTCACAGTAGTCAAATCAGCACGAACATTAATGTGATTTATGCAGAGCTCTGTAGAAAAGTTCATGTTCGTTGTTGTCACTAAACATTATTTGGACATAATGACAGGCTTGTGGTAGGTGAAACTATAAGAATAGTTTGACCTTGAATTTAGACACACCATAAACGTACAACACGTGCTTATGACAATGGATGTCTGTACTAGAGAGTTCCAGCCTAACAAATAATGTTAAAAAAGTGTCAATATACCTGCCTTCAAATAGATGTTAATTAAGCATTGAACTGTTTTTGTATGGTATTTATGATCTATTTGAATGACACATCTTTGCAAGCAAACAACATAACGCGCGCTAGCGCATTATGATTTGTTTTTAACTTATAATTTATATTTAAAATTAAAAATGCCCGCCTTATCGACAGTCCACACAATTTCGTTCAATAGTTTGAACAGCGTATTGTCGCGTGCTGATTGGCAAACAAAGAAGTACTTTGAAATTTTAGCAAACACTTCAATTTTATTCCACAATTCAGTATCAATACAATTGCGTATGATATGTCTATAGGGTGATTTAAATTTATCAATACATGTAGAACTCTGAGCTGAAAGTTAGATTTGAAATTGTTTCGATTTTTTCCCGGAACAAATTTCGCGCATGGACAAGTACAGTGAACACCGTAAATCCGACCTTGCCCTCCACGAGGGAGTTATTTTTGGAAGTTAATTCGAACTTTTCTCTTTGCTCATTTTGTGAAGGATCCAGACGTGAATTTATTTGTTGATTGTATGAGAACCTGACAACAGTCAGTAGATTCTATAACAGCGTCATTATTTGACATGTCGTCAGAAACTGAGGAACCATGAATGCGAGACGCGTGAAACTGATAGCGTTTGAAGTGAGTGATCTTGCGACGGAGCACAGGTTCGTTACACATGTCTGAAATGTTTATGTGTGCTGTGACTCATATCAGTAGGTCTGTAACATATGTGTCAGTAGGTCTATAGAATATGGGTATTTCAGACATTTGTAACGAACCCCTGTTGATCAGCGCAGTGTAACAGACGATATTTCTGATAAATTGCATGAGCGTTAAAAAGCGGGTCTTAGAGGTATAGAAGGGAAAGCAAGACTAGAAAAAAACTAAATGGAGTGGGAGGGGGGGGGGGGGGGGGGGGGGGGGGGGGCGGAGAAACAAGGACGCTGTATAGATGTGTCGGAATGTTTAAGGAGTTTTACATATGTATTTAGTAAGTATATTTTGTAGATATGTGTACATATTTTGGAATAGACAGCGTGTAAGCAATATCAAGAAGTTTTCCCCATTTTTTCCATTCAGTATTAAATTTCAATGAAAATAAGCCACTCTTACCAACAGCAATATATCTCTGAGGATAATATGTGTCCTTAATAAAGTTCTTAAGTGCAAGTACTGACAATGACGTTTATAAACATACCAATTTATAAATACATTGCTTTATGATTAAAATTATGATATTATCTACCCAACCTCTGATACTATTTTGATTAAATAAACCGAAAATGAAGAATAACTTCTTAAAACCAAATGGGATTAACAATGCATCAAGAAGGATCACAAAACTTTGTAGAAAGTCTTGTTCTTTCTCACATTCCCAGAGGGTGTGAATTATTGTCTCTATTTCAGTCTTACATTGAAAACTAAGAGCTCTATCGGTAAGGGCTGTTTTAAATAGATAAGAAATTGTTGTTAAAATGAGTTTAATTATTCTGTATAGAAGCTATTGTAATTTTGAATTCCTAGTTACTGTAAAAGGATTTACATATATCAATTTCCATGTGTCATCATCAAATTCAAACAATTCATTCCATTTTTCCCCCAGTGGATATGGTACTATTTTGGCACAACAAATTATATAAATCTTCAGTTCCTTTTTTTATGCTTCATAAATATTTCTAAACAAATGGGTATGGATGGATATCTAATCAAAGTATTTGAAGTATCGTAGTTGGACATATAGTTTTTTATAGTATTAATAATAATATATATGTAAGAAAGTTAGTTTTTACATCAAATTTTTATGAAAATTCCATAAAACTATAAAATAAAAACACCAGAATTATTACCTTTGAATAGGTCATTCATAATTATTACACATCCTTCCAAACAAGGTTTTTACAATTGCCTTGCATAATCGATAAGTATTCTGAACCACAATTAAATCATTATTAGAATATTTTAGATAACACTTGCCATTTACCCCCTGATGTAAACAACCTATGTATACAAGTAAGTTTCAAGGCTTCAATAACTTGATGTGTATCATTTTAAGACCCCCTTCCTAATAGTTTTTGATAATTATATCCCGTTTTGTATTATCTACTTTAAGTTTCCATTAGAAAATGAAAAGTTCTGAATTTAGTTTTTAAATAAAATAGTCATCTGGATTAGGTAAGGAGATGAATAGATGATTAAATTGGGTTATTAGTAAAGATTTACTAACAGGTGTTCTTCCTATTGGTGTTGATATTCTTCTACTCCAATTCTTAATTATTGACTTCAGTTTGACTAATCTTTTGTCATAGTTGAATACCTAGTACCATATTTGTTTACTTCCCCATTGCAGGTTCCATTCCTGAAAATAAATATCATCACTGTCCTTTTTTATTACCTATCCATATAACTTGTGTTTTACTGTTATTTAGTCTTAGACCAGAATTGTTTGCAAATAAATCTAGCTCTTTTACTGATTCTTTTAATGAATGTTTCGTTCCATCTAAAATAAGAGAAGTATCGTCTGCATATTACATGTATGAGAGAAGTAGTGGACGGTTGTCCACATTTATGCCCTTAATATAATTATTATTTCTAAGTCTAATTGCAAGTATTTCTAAACACAAAATAAAAATGTATGGAGCTATCGGATCACCTTGACGGCAACCCCTCTGAATTTCAAAAAATATGAGAGATAGCCACCTTGATCAATTGCAGACATAGAGTTATTATGCAATGTTTTTTTCCAATTTTTCCTCACAAAGAAATAAAATATTTAAATACATTATCAATAAACTCCCAGCTAACAGAATCAAATGCCTTTTCAAAATCAACAATCAAAAGCATCCATCTATATAATTATCCTCTGTATACTGCATTATATCGTAAATGAATCGTGTATTTTCCCCTAGAAATCTGCCTGATATAAATCATGTCTGGTCAGTATTAATTAATTTATCTAAAATTGTATTTAATCTAGAAGCTGTATTTACTCTTTCTCTTTATCTTCTTTCCTTTTTCTTCTTCTCAGTCTTCATTTCTTCCTCTTTTTCTTCTATCTTCTTTTTCTTCCATCTTCTTTTTCTTCTTTTTCTATATTTCTTTTTCTAATCGTCTTTTTTTCTTCTATCTCTACTTTTCCTCCCTTTCCTTCTCTGTTGTTACTGTTTCTTTGTGGTTTGTCGCTGTAAGTGCCAATCTACAGTGTCTATATAATGACATTTCAGTAAGTGCCAGTCTACAGTGTCTATATAATGACATTTCAGTAAGTGCCAGTCTACAGTGTCTATATAATGACATTTCAGTAAGTGCCAGTCTACAGTGTCTATATAATGACATTTCAGTAAGTGCCAGTCTACAGTGTCTATATAATGACATTTCAGTAAGTGCCAGTCTACAGTGTCTATATAATGACATTTCAGTAAGTGCCAGTCTACAGTGTCTATATAATGACATTTCAGTAAGTGCCAGTCTACAGTGTCTATATAATGACATTTCAGTAAGTGCCAGTCTACAGTGTCTATATAATGACATTTCAGTAAGTGCCAGTCTACAGTGTCTATATAATGACATTTCAGTAAGTGCCAGTCTACAGTGTCTATATAATGACATTTCAGTAAGTGCCAGTCTACAGTGTCTATATAATGACATTTCAGTAAGTGCCAGTCTACAGTGTCTATATAATGACATTTCAGTAAGTGCCAGTCTACAGTGTCTATATAATGACATTTCAGTAAGTGCCAGTCTACAGTGTCTATATAATGACATTTCAGTAAGTGCCAGTCTACAGTGTCTATATAATGACATTTCAGTAAGTGCCAGTCTACAGTGTCTATATAATGACATTTCAGTAAGTGCCAGTCTACAGTGTCTATATAATGACATTTCAGTAAGTGCCAGTCTACAGTGTCTATATAATGACATTTCAGTAAGTGCCAGTCTACAGTGTCTATATAATGACATTTCAGTAAGTGCCAGTCTACAGTGTCTATATAATGACATTTCAGTAAGTGCCAGTCTACAGTGTCTATATAATGACATTTCAGTAAGTGCCAGTCTACAGTGTCTATATAATGACATTTCAGTAAGTGCCAGTCTACAGTGTCTATATAATGACATTTCAGTAAGTGCCAGTCTACAGTGTCTATATAATGACATTTCAGTAAGTGCCAGTCTACAGTGTCTATATAATGACATTTCAGTAAGTGCCAGTCTACAGTGTCTATATAATGACATTTCAGTAAGTGCCAGTCTACAGTGTCTATATAATGACATTTCAGTAAGTGCCAGTCTACAGTGTCTATATAATGACATTTCAGTAAGTGCCAGTCTACAGTGTCTATATAATGACATTTCAGTAAGTGCCAGTCTACAGTGTCTATATAATGACATTTCAGTAAGTGCCAGTCTACAGTGTCTATATAATGACATTTCAGTAAGTGCCAGTCTACAGTGTCTATATAATGACATTTCAGTAAGTGCCAGTCTACAGTGTCTATATAATGACATTTCAGTAAGTGCCAGTCTACAGTGTCTATATAATGACATTTCAGTAAGTGCCAGTCTACAGTGTC